TCGGTTTCTCTGCTGTCAGTGAGGAGCCTGCTTCAGATCCTCTGTCTCCCTCTCTCAAAAATAAATGAACATTTAAAAAATCAATCAATCAATCGTGGGGCACCTGGGTGGCTCAGTTGGTTAAGCATCTGACTTTGGCTCAGGTCATGATCTTAGGTCATGAGTTCGAGACCCACATTGGACTCTCAGCTGTCAGTGTGGCACCTGCTTTGGAACTTCTATTTCTCTCTCTCTCTGCCCCTCCTCCACTTGTGTGCAAGCACACGCGCTCTCTCTCAAAAATAAACATTAAAAAAGATAAAAAATAAGCCTTACCTATGTGTTCAAGAAATACAGGTTTTTATACCTATAAATTTTATACCTGTTAAATTGAAATCTTAAGACAAAGTAGAAAATAAAAGTAGAAAAGCTTTGACTAAATTAAATTAACCCATGAATCACATTGGTTCAATTCAAACATACTAACATATTATCCAAAATGAAACTACACTTAGAACACTGAGACTATAAACCAAAATTCTGGGTGAAATGGATTCCCATATCTAAGAATGAAATCCCTCTACCTACTTCCGAGAGTTCATGAAGAGACAGTACATATTCAAAATGATGTGTCTTCCTAGCTATAATATCTGGAAAATGTTAAACGTTTACTTTTAAGTAGCTATTTAAATATTTTAGTTGATGTATACTATATTTAGTAAGTAACAAGAAACTTTGCCAGTGATGATGATGAAACCTTTATTTCAGCACCTGTTTTCTCATCACTGATCAAGCAGTTCACCCCTAGAAAGCTGAAAAACAAAAAATCATTATGTAGCTATGGATTCATCCCAGTTTGTCAAATGCTGTTCAACTTTTAAACCATGGACATCAGTAAAAGAAGTGGAATGTAGCTTTCAAGTCTACAATTTGTAAGGCAACTACTCCACAAAAAGAATGTATTTCTTTTAAAAGTGTTCAAAAGGCCAACACTATAAGCGGTTTTATTTTTACTATATTATGATGCTTATCGGATGAATTTAGAAAAAACAAGTTTAAAAAGGAAACATACGTTGGTATGTCTTAAAATGAAATGTCTTATTCATACATGGAAAATGAAAAACAACACCACCAGGCTTGGCTTTTTTTTGTTTTCCTTTTAGAACTTCAAAATAAAATGCCCAGTAAACATATGACTAGTATTGTCTAAGATTGTTCTGATTGACATCCTCACTTCATATAGATTGTTATGATTCCTGAGTTGGGGGTAAATGGACATGTGGTCTCTCATGGTTGTTAAAATTCAGAAACTTCCATTTTATTCTGAATATTTTGTACCCAGTCCAGGAGTCTATAGCACATGCTGAAGTAGACAATTTATGATTGTCCAGTTAATCGAATCCACCAAGATGAATGAGAGGTATGAGCCAAGCCTACCAGTCACAGCTTTTTTGGGGAAACTAAATAAGTTACTACTTGAGTAACTTCTAAATTCCTCTTGATATAAATGATATAGGCATAGTCTCAGAAAAGATATGGGACAGTGAATGAGAAGCTAAAATTTAAATCAAGTTTTACCACTACCATTCATTTAAAATTGAGATTTAATTAATAATAAAAATTTTGTCTGCCTCAGTTCATCTGGGAAAAAAGCATTTGCAGATTTATTCCAGCAACAAGATAAGCTATGCATACATTATTAAGGAATGCTGAAAATGTCTCAATAATTTGATAACTTGATAAGCAATGTTTTCTGTGTATTGGGATTATTTGACTAAATTTATTTAAAACACATACAATTTGTGGCACAATTGGACAATTTTAACATAAAAAATTGTTTTTGTCTCCTGATTTTAGAATAATGTTGGGGCGACCTTAATGATTTATGTCTTTGAAATGATAATTTCTGATAATAATTTCTGTATTTCATGGATAATAAGGAAAAGAAAAACAATGCTAGTTTCTCTCTGTATCACACCAGAAAATTCCTTTTCTTCTGATCTTTATAACTCTGGAAAAATTATTTTAGCTCTTTGTATCTCATTCCCTGCAAAATGATGAAGACAGAGGGGTCCACAGAATATTACTTAATCAGGCAATTGTTGAGATTTAATGAGATAATGAATGAAAAAGTGTATCTAACCACTAGAATACAGTAAACCCTCCTTTAAAGTTGTTATTACCAAAGGAAATAATCATCAAAACTAAAAGGCAACCAATAGAGTGGGAGAAGATATTTGAAAATGACATATCAGATAAAGGGTTAGTATCCAAAATCTATAAAGAAGTTATCCAACTCAACACCCAAAAAACAAATAATCCAGTGAAGAAATGGACAAAACACATGAATAGACACTTCTCCAAAGAAGACATCCAGATGGCCAACCGACACATGAAAAAATGCTCAACATCACTCATCATCAGGGAAATACAAATCAAAACCACAAGGAGATATCACCTCACACCTGTCAGAATGGCTAAGCAACAACAGATATTGGAGAAAGAGGATCTCTTTTGCACTGCTGGTGGGAATGCAAACTGGTGCAGCCACTCTGGAAAACAGTATGCAGGTTCCTCAAATATTAAAAATAGATCTACTCTATGACCCAGCAATTGCACTCCTAGGTATTTACCCAAGGAATACAGGTGTGCTCTTTCGAATGGGCACATGCACCCCAACGTTTATAGCAGCACTATCAACAATAGCCAAAGTATGGAAAGAGCCCAAAAATCCATCAATGGATGAATGAATAAAGAAGATGTGGTATATACATACAATGGAGTATTACTCAGCAATCAAAAATGATGAAATCTTACCATTTGCAGCTACATGGATGGAACTAGAGGGTATTTTGCTAAGCAAAATTAGTCAGTCAAAGAAAGACAAATATCATATGACTTCACTCATATGAGGACTATAAGATACAAAACATATGAACATAAGGGAAGGGAAGCAAAAATGATATAAAAACAGATAAATGATATAAAAATGATATAAAAACAGGGGGACAAAACATAAGAGACTCTTAAATATGGAGAACAAACAGAGGGTTGCTAGAGGGGTTGTGGGAGGGGGGATGGGCTAAATGAATAAGGGGCACTAAGGAATCTACTCCTGAAATCATTGCTGCACTATATGCTAACTAACATGGATGTAAATTAAAAAATAAATAAATTGTTTTTAAAAAGTTGTTATTAGCTATATCTTACAAAATAGTACTAAAGTGGCATTTTAGTAAATTATTAATATTATACTTCTGGAACATGAAATACCTGCTAGAAATTCAATGAAATGAAATAAAACACTAGGATTTGGGAAGGCTAAGCATAAATTATAATTAATACCTCATGAATTCTGGGGGGAAAAATCAGCCAGGTAATCTCTCCTATAATTCAACTATACATTAGATTTATGATTTTTTAAATACTATGGTGAACATAATTAATGAAATTTTTGTAGTGTTTTAAGGTTAATTAAACATTTTACATCTACAATTTCATCCATTGCTCACAAAAACTACTTCAGTAATCTATTCATGACCTGCTGTTTTATATAAAAATTTGCTTGCTATAATACAAAGTGTCAACAAAATGAAATTTCCATAATATTATGTTCAAAACTGAATTCTTGGGGATATAAAAACAATGAAAGGAAATACATGTATAAACTAAACAAAAATCAAGCCAGTTTTCATATTTCTGAGTACCTACTGTGATATAGGATGCAGATAACATCTTTACATTGAAATAGTTATCAAAATTGCTTATGACTCATGCACAACTGTACAATGCATCAAATCCATAGTCAAGAGTAGTTCTATTTCTTTAAATGGTCACAATATTCAAAAGTTTTAATAGCTGAACAAATGATTTTAACTAAAAGAGAGCTATATAAAATGAAATTAATCTTCATGGAAACAGAAGTGGGATGAGAAGTAGAAGTTTAGTCATTGCTAATGACTGAAATAATACATGGCCAGAAAAATTTTCTGCAGTATAAGAAACAACATAGAAGGACTTTGGGGATGGAATTTTTACTATGTCTTGGGAAATACACTTACACTTGTAGAATATTCTATTCTACACTTGTAGAATAGAGAAAAATACTTCTAAAACCTGTCAGTCTTTCCAAGATTTACACTGAGCAAGTCAGTAGTGCTTAGTGTTGCTAATAACATGCAACATGAGAGAGAGTTTGACAAAAATTAAACATGTTAGTTTAGGCATTTTTAATGATATTCCATAGTGTGATGGGCTGATACTTAAGAAGTATATTTGCCCTTTGAATATATAAGAAATATATTAATTACCAAATAAATCAGACACTGCTGATAATTACAAAATACCCAAAATTATAGTTGTAATTCTATATCATGATATAAAATTATAATCGAAAAGTAGTCTTGATTTTGCAGTGTACATTTGCATTTTATAGAAAGAAGATTAGCTGCAATGAATGAATGTATAAACTGTAAGAGTTTCAATACAATAATAGCTAACCAATAGTCTAACCTTCACCAGAAATTCTGTTGCCCCGCCTCCACCCTAAAAAAATACCTGAATTATAAATTTGGGACGGGGAAAAAGAAGAGTCATTCATTTATTCTACAAATATTTAATGTATGATAGCTATTACACAGCTTGGGACTAGGTGCATTTGGGAATACAGGTAGGGCAAAACATGGTCTGAGACTTTAAGGATGTAAACTAGACTTATCATGGTGATCATTTTGCAATATATATAAATATCAAGTTGCTATGAGGTACACCGGCAACTAATATAATGGTATGTGTCAATTTTACCTCAAAACATATCGTGCATGTAAATATATATCCATTTTTTTAATAGAGAAAGTAATAAATAATAGGAGAAAGTGACAGTATTCAGGTGGGGAAGAAAAAGTCCTAAATATAACCAAGTGGGTATATTGATTAAAATAGGCTTTAAGTTAAAAAAAATGTTTAATATATGTAAAAAAAACCCCTGCATTGTCATTTTACAAGTTTTCTGATTCACCCACCTATTGTTTCGCTGCTTGATGTTGTAATCACTGGAATGGAAGCTGCTGAATTAGAGAAAACAATGGAAAATAATTAGTTTTGCACAGAGGGAACATTATGCTTCTGAGAACATCTATGGTCATGTATAAAATGGGTCAACTTAAAAATTAATGTTTCAAAGAAATTTAATCATATAGGTGGATAGACATTAGTGTATAAAATTAAAGCTTTCAAATCCATAGACCACAAGTAAAAGGTCAAGAAAACATCATTTTGCGTAACATTTTTTCCAAGGTCTTCCTCTAAAGCATTCTTAAAAACAAACAAAACAAAACAAAAGTCCCCATAAAATGTCATTAGAAAGATATAATAGTGCAAAAAGAAGTTTTGTTTTTTGGGTTTTTGTTGTTTTTTTTTTTTGTAAATGCCCTCTTGATTAAGTTGTGGGTGAAGATTATGGCTTACCTGCACCTGAGCTCCTGGTTACCAATGTTATTGCTATACAAAGAAGGAGGCAAATATTTGGAAATGTATGTTAAAATTGTGTTAAAAGACAAAATTAAAAGTATTTAGAGATGTGTTTACATATATGTCTAATGCAAATAAATGATTAAATGTAACAGTTAAATGTATTAATCAGATGTCCACACATTTCAAAACACTTTTTGTAGTCCTTAGGCTATTGCTTTACTACAAATCATTCAATTAACATTGAGATTCCTTGATATTAGTAAAGGATAAGTTGTAAATCATTTTTAAAGACTTTAACATAGAATGATCTTCAGTAGTAGAATTTTCTTCACTTTCTCCAAACTAGCACGGAGAATGTTCTTTTTAGGATGCATAACCTCTGAATAGGGAAGATGCTCTTCACTAATATTACAACTGGATGTAGACCCTGCTATCTGGCATTTAGGAAATAAATAGAGAATGACAAATTTGACAAAAGGGCCAAATTGCCGCATTGCAAATTCACTTTGCTGCTGATTTAGAAGCTAAAAGGCAAACTTTTTTTTTTTTTTTTTTTTTTACCTGTTTCGGTGCTTAATATGGAGGTAGCTGTTGTAGCTGAAACTGTGTAGGGAAGAAATTATTGAAGAAAAGTAAATTACTTGGATAATTTTACCAGGAAATTTAGTTTAAAAAATCACTTACCATAAACTAAGTGAAAATTTCTAAACCTGTGTTCAAAGGTTAAGTGACAAAATAATCTCTCATTTAAATAAAAAAATAAAAAAAAATAAATCAACACAAATAATTCTATATATTTATTGTATGCCCCCCCCAAAAATAATTTTTTCTGTTTTTATCATTTAACCAAAATCTCACAGGAATTTTATAAGGCCTATTTAAGGACCAAGAAATAAAGTTCAGAACCCTGACGTGGGATACCTTAGCTGTAAGTAAGTGATCAATAATAACTAAAAATTTAAATAGCATTTTACAGACAATAACACAACTTTAAATATAGTATCAAAATATAAGGCTTCTAATACTTCACGATCTCTTCACTGATATCTCTGAATATCGGTCTACAGGAAATAAAATTCCCCCTGCATCACACAGAACAGGAATACGGTTAAGTGCACTGCAGCAACTCTAACTATGCTTATATTGTCAGTAAGTTGCAAGTCCCAAAGCTAAAATTAGACTGCATTCTGTCAGCGCTCTTCCTGAGTGGACGTGACTGAAACGTCCTTGGAGCTTACAGCCGATATAAGAGTTAAGAAAAAGAAAGTAACTTTTTATTTCTATATTTTTAAATTACCTCCCGGTGTAATCATGATTTTAAAATTTTACTCCATGGGAGACCACATTTAACTCATTTTCATTCCACGTGTTCCAATTATTATCTAAAAATGTCAAGCTTTGGATGATGATATTTAACTAATAAGCATACATTACCTAATATATGTTCTAATCATATTCCTAGCTGAATACACTAGAGTAAAATAACATTTTGACAGATTTTCTAGTAACTGTTCATTCTAATTTGAAATTTTTGTATCAGATTTACCACCATATTTTTCACTGGCATAGACTGATGTGAAACTGTAAAGGATTATCCACAAAAAGAAATCAGAGCTACACATTGAAAACCATGATGATTTAGGGCACCTGGGTGGCTCAGGTGGTTAAGCGTCAGATTTCAGCTCAGGTCACGATTCATGGTTCACGAGTCTGAGCCCTGTGTCGGGCTCTGTGCTGACAGCTCAGAGCCTGGAGCCTGCTTAGCATTACGTGTCTCCCTCTCTCGCTCTCGCTCTCTCAAAAATAATAAACATTTTAAAACTTTTTTAAAAAAGAAAACCATGATGATTTTACCTGTGAATGTTGAATTTGTAGGAGCAGTTTCTGAAATAAACATAAGTTACTATTATTGAGAAGAATGAAAAAGGGTGAAAAAGTCTAAAATCTCAAATTGCCAATGAATTATTTGTATCTTGTTTATTTTACTCCCTGCAATTTCTAATACAAACCAGGGAGTAGCTCATATTTTTTTTTAAAGCTTATTGAGATTCATCTTTAAGATTTGTTGCTCATGAGTGATCCCTCAATTATTTAATTCTATCTTATCTAATCCTGACCTTTCAGCTCCATCCCTTCATGAATCTGTTTTGAGTGATGTCTTACTGCCTTAATTCCCAGAGCCTACAGATAGGCAGGGGCTTCCATGCAGCAGGAGGACTACCTACTTGCTAGTTGTTGGAAATGCCTTGGCAGCATTGGTTTTGAAATGACACAACATGAACAAATACACAGCAATGGAATTGTCCAAACCACTGAGGGAGGAGCAGTTTAAGCCTTAAGTACCTACCCCTTTTTCTGTTGATGATCTGAAAGGATCCCAAACCCCGTACCTTGTCTTCCCTAATTCAATTAGAATAAAATGCAAAGACTCACCACTGCACTCCAACTCTCCTGCGATGCAATAGCTGAAAGTTAAATTAAAAAAAAAATGAGGTTGAAATTTTGACTCCTACTGGCATACACCTCCCGAATTTGAAACAAAAAATAGTCTAACCATGAGAATCGAAACAATACCAAATAAGGGAACAATAAATAATCATTTCCCCAAAGGACATTTATTTTTTGGTGTACTGTACCATTATTCCTAATCATTTCACTGCAGTGTTCTTGACACCTAAAAAGATGCTTTGCAGTCAAGCTGTACAGTTAGTTCTTACATTTTCAGCTTTAAACCTGACATCTTGGCCATGCTGCTCTTGTAGAGACTTCTCCTGTTTGCTTCCATGTCACTGTCTGAAGCCTGTAAACATGATCTTGCATTTATAGAATTAAAGCTTTCTTTTTACCTAAAATTACCAGTGACATTTTCTGTTCCTGTTTTCCTCATTATAAGATTTAACAAGCCATTTGTTGACATATGGATTTACTGAAAATATGAAATAACTAGCATTACTGACAAAAAATTGAACCTAATGCTAGCCTTATCATTTAGAAATAGGAAAGCTAAAAATTATACATGTATACTTAATTTTTTTTATAAATGAAAATGCAAGGAACGGAATTGCTTCTTAGAAAGTTAATAGAGAATGTACCATGTTCTTCCACAGTTATCCTGAATCACTCCACCTGCTGGTATGATATCATTATAGAAGCAGCTGCACTCAGATAAACTGACGCATTTCATGGTGTTCTCATCCAGATAAGGAGCGCTATCTGGGCACTTAGCATAACATCCTGTATGAAAGATGACCCATGGTTCATTTCTGTTTACAGAAACTTGTCACATTGCATTATATATTTGTAAAGTTACTTAAATGCCTACATGAACTGAAGTAGATAACAGCAAAATGACATCATACTCTTAATAAAAACATATAAATTGTACAGGATTCAGATCTTCTTGCAATGGAATATCAACCTAAGAACTGAGAACTTATACATTTTCACTGATTTATTTTTCTAAAATGTTTCCTGAAGTATTTTAAAATAATTTGCAACTTTAATGATGGTATGATGTTGAATGTAATACAACACTTTGATAAATACATATCTTGAAAAGTGAATGCCAATTCTAAATATCTATTTTTTGTAAGGATAGATGAAGATCCAGGTGTCATAATAAAATGAGCTGAAAAGATCCCAGAGACTGGGATCTAACACAGAGGTGACTCTGGGAAGTTACTGCATCTTCTTATTTTCTTGCCACTTCTTCCTTTCCAAGATATGAAATGCTAAGAAGAAAGTGCTGATGACGTGTGGGATATAGTTAATTGGACTATATAATACATTGCATTCTGAAACTACATTCTCAACAAACTATATTGTCTAATGAAAAGTATAAAAATTGACAATGGGACTGAAGCACTGCATTCTCCCCACTGCTTGTCTGTCTTATTAAACAGATAATATATGTCTAGAGGAAATGTTTCATTTTTTATGTTTATTTTTGAGAGATAGAGAGACAGAGACAGAGCATGAGCGAGGGAGGGACAGAGAGAGAGAGAGAGAGACTCATTATCTGAAGCAGGCTCTGGGCTCTGAGCTGTCACCTGAGAGCCCAATGCAGGGCTCCAACCCACAAACCGTGAGATCATGACCTGAGCCGAAGTTGGCCACTCAACCGACTGAGCCACCCAAGGGCCCCTAGAGAAAATGTTTCTTATGTAGAAATATTAATGTCATAACAAGTATAAATGCCTATTCGTTAAAGTACAGAATGTGAGGACCGGGGTGGCTCACTCGGTTAAGCATCTGACTCTTGATTTCAGCTCTGGTCATGATTTCGTGGTTTGCAAGATGGAGCCCTGTGTAAGGCTCTACAGGAACAGTACCAAGCCAGGCTGGGATTCTTTGTCTCCCTCTCTCTCCCCTCACCATCAAGAATAAATAAATAAACATCAAGTAAATGAATGAATGAATACATAAATAAATAGTAAAACGTAAGATTCTGAATTGGCAGAAATAACATTTTCAGTATTCAAATATCAATATAATTTGCACTACTTCATGGATATTACTAAAATTTACCTTACCTTCTAAAACTGCAGAAAATTTCTGGCCAATAACTTGATCTTTGCAAGTTTTTGCAGTCACTGTACCACAAGGTTCATAGTGCCAACTGCATTCCCCAGGGGCATTGTAATAATCACAGTAGACAGCTGTAATTTAATTGTATCAAATTACTTCCATCTATTATGTAACAATTTTCACCTTTCCCTTTCCAAAGCATTTTTGAATGATATTAACAAATAAACAGACCTAGCGTATATCATTCTATTTTATCAGGTTCCTTTGGCTTTATCCAAATTGGCCGATAAGCCAAAATAGCTCACAAAAAACGGAGGGGGAGCGTATAGGATCAAAACAGCACTTTCCTTTGACACCTCACAAAGTTGGTTTGGGGTAGAAAAGTAAACACTAATTTTCCCATTTTAAGGTATTTTAGGTCATAGTCTAGATTCATAGTTTTACTGTTCAAGACTAAATTGCAAAAATAAATCTCTGGGAAAAGGAGGCTACTTTAATGTGTAAATAACAGTTCCTGAATGAGGTAACTAAAGATTTCAATATAACACTTTGCATAATAAAGAATAAAATGTGGATTCAATGTCAATATTTCTCATCTGTCATATTTTCTCTCGTAATACTTTCCATTAGAAGGGAAAGAGCTGATTTCTACCAAAATTATCACATTCCATATATATCAATATATGTATCAAGACTAGGGCTCTATAAACGTTTTTAAGATAATGTGTAAGGACTTGAACCCAAAGTAGATGAGGTAAATGTTCAAGGATATATGGCTACACCAAGTTAGGTAAACAATTCATTGTTCATCTAAGTATGAATAAGAGATACTTTCCATCAGTATTTAATTTCTCCCCTGTTATAAGAACTTCAGAAACTCCAACTGAATTTGATGTACTGTGCCAGGTGCTATACTTTTCAAAATAGGGATTTTTCCCATCATAAACATATTAACATGTTTTGAAAACTTTCTAGGCACAAGAGTATGTATTTTATAGAAAATATGGAAAGAAGATTGATCACCTAACAAAACAATGCTATCTAATTACCTTTTATAAGAACAACACATGAACCTCACTTACGGCAGAGCTCTGGTTTTCTCCACCTGACACAGACTCCAACTGCACTGCACGCCTCTGCGTACATAGCCACAGCTGTGCAGAATCCCAGGTACTTCCCCTCCATGTCACATGCGCAGGCTTCTTCAATGCATGCATCATAGTAGGCATTGGGGTCCACCTAGAGAACACGGCCCATGAGTCTCTGGGAGCAAAGCCTGTGCAGGTCCCTGCTCTCAGAGCCATACTACCTTGCTGTGGCAGTCTCTGAAGGTGCTGTCCCGGATGATCTCACATTTCCGCACAGCCCAGGCCTTACAGTATGGGTTTGAGTCACACGGGAAAGCTTGAGCTACTGTGTCTGAACATTCTTGACTGGTTTTCCAGCTATTTCCAAATTCCAGTGCTCCAGCAGCTACTGATGAATATCGTGTTGTGAAATCATCCTTGAGATCACCATTGTTATTTCCACAAAGACCACATACTTTGCCCTGTAGAGATCCGAAAGGGAAGTTAACAAGTAGGTTGTAGTAGGGATATAGATATATGAAGACATGAGATCAGAAGGGAAAATTAACAAGTGAGTTGCACTATAGTGGTATACAGAGACAGATACGTAAAGATGTTATGATCATTTATAGTATCATAGATCTACTTTATTTATTTTATTTTATTTTATTCTTATTTTGTATTTTATTTTATTTTTGAAGAGAGAGCATGTGACAGGGGGAGGGGCACAGGGAGAGGGAAAGACACTCTTAAGCAGGCTCCAACTCAGCATAGAGTCCATGCGGGGCTCGATCTCATGACCATGAGATCATGACCTGAGCCAAAATCAAGAGTCAGACACTCAAGCCACTGATTCGCCCAGGTGCCCCCCTTTTTTTTTAAGTAGGCTCCATACCCAACATGTTGTTTAAACTCACAACCCTGAAATCAAGAGTTGACATGCTCTGCTGACTGAGTCAGCCAGGTGCCCCCACCATAAATCCATTTTAAATTCCAAATTTTAGAAGGAAATTAAAATCTGTGGATAAGATCCTGGTACTGTTTAACCCAAGATATCCTATATCACAAAATGATCTAGTATCAAATAAGATAAATGCATTAAGAATTATTAAAAAATAATTATATTCACTAGCTTCAAATCATACGTGAGTAGACTCTTAGGCTCTTAGAATTTTTGTTCTAAGAAATATATTTAATTCTATATATTCACCAGCTACCTTAAAATTGTATTATGCAATAATCTCAAGTAACCAAATATGGTTAAACTAGAATGCTTCAGGTTTATTGCATTTAGTTTTCACCAGGTCCTGTCATCTTTGATTACATTTCTTATTTCATCATAAGGTTGAACAGTTGTGGAAGGCTTATTCTATGAAAGAAACTACCACTCTCTCACTTTCCACTGATGAATTGTCTCTACATCTCAGAAACAGAAATTATTTTGTTTCCCCGTTAATCACTTATTAGTGATATACATACATTCCAGTGTGGATCCAGTATAACAGAAACTCTTGTATTCTTGTCCCAAATTATGGTTATTCCATTTAAAAATTTCAGAATCAAGTACAGGCCAACAGTATGTACAGAATATGTATTTCCACTGATTTCACATTCCTTACTTTCTGTAGTTTTGGCTGCTGTTACTTTCCCATCATGCAGAACAACATTCTGATCCTATAAATTAAAAGACAGACTTATGATAACATCAGTTTTATCTGGCCACTCATAATCTGAGAGAAAAAATATATAAAGAGAAACAGTACCATACCTGAAAAGCAACTATGATTTTTCTTGAGCATGTAAGCCCATTTTCACAGCATGGGACGCTTTCAGTTAAGAGACGGAATGTGCCATTTTCACGACCACAATAATCCTTTAAAAGTAAATTATCATAATACTTTATAAATATCAGGGACGTGGAACTCAATTACAATATTTGCATCAGACAAAGAATTCTTAGACAGTGATACCTTAAACTCAATAAATTACCATATGCTGTGTTATGGAATGTCCAGAAGACAATAATTTAACTGCATATATGGAGAGGTAGCCCTCCCTGGCTGAATCCAACCTAGTTAATTTGCTTTCACTCGGTCCTTTTGTAATATTTTATAAAAGTTTAGACTTATAACATATTACATAAGTAGCTAAATTATATAACATGGCTTATAATCATTGATTTATTTCTAGGCTCTGTACATAACTAAAGTTGTTTATTTCCCCTCACCGATTTTTATGAAATTTGCATAAATATAAAACAATATAAATTTAAAGCATAAAACAATCCAAATTTCAGGAAATTAGATATTACTTAGGAAGCAGCTTAGCAGCATGTAACAAGTGTGAACTCTGGAATCACACAGATCTGGTTTTGAATACGACATTTTCTACTTAGTTCATGTTGCTTAACCTCTCTAAGCCTCAATTTCTTCATCTGCATCATAGGAATAATAATATCAGCCTTTGAGTATTGCAGTGATTAAATGTAATCAATTTGCTTTGGCAAAGAAGCACTCATAAAGTGGTAACTGTCATTGCTGATAGCGCTGTTGTTAAATATCTAGCATTCACTGAGCACTTAGTATGTGCTCCAATATTTGCCCAAATTTGGTTTCAAGGGAGCTGTTTCCATCCCCATTTTATAGATAAGGAAACGGAGACACAGAGGGATTAAGGAATGTGCCCAAAGTCACACATCAGAGAAAGGGTAGAGCCAAGGTTGAAATCTAGACCTACCGCCTCCCAAGTCAGCATGATACTGTTATATTGTAATGTCTTTGAGAAAGACTTAAGGGGCCATTTGTTTAAATTTCACATTTTGAGAATAAAATTCTCCAGAGAGCATCTGCAGATAAATAATAATTATTAAGTATAGAAGAATTGTGATAAAACACACTAGTAATTACCTCAAGAAATGAATACTGGCAGAGACCATCAAAGCTGTAACTTTTTCCATCAAAAGTTCTAACATGACCTTCCCCATAGATATGGCAGGTGGTTTGACATTCATTGTGTGTACAGCTCCAAGACCCTTTTATGCAAGTACTAAAAGAAAAAAAAATGATAGAGTGAGGTAATTATATTATGCCAAGATTCACATTCTCACACTGTTTTTGTAAAGAAGCACAAAACCTTGTTTTATATTGACTTAAATTTGGCAGTTGTCTTCATTATATCATGTTAACCATAGAAAATGCCAAATAAAGGTTCTATTTCATAAAATATAGCCTAGGGAATACAGTCAATAATATTGTAATAACTTTGTATGGCAACAGATGGTAACAACACTTATTGTGGTGAGCGCTGCATAATGTATACAATTGTTGAATCATAAGGCTGTACACCTAAAACTAATAAAATATTGTATGTCAACAATACCTCAATAAAAAATAAAATTATAGTTTCTATTTAAAAAATAGCATTTTAACTATATTTGACCGTTATTCTTCAAATATCTCAAAGTATGACTTCTTTCCTATAAAATAAGAGCAGACTATACTTTCTAATATCCAAAACATATGAAATAGTCTTTTATTTTTTAAGGTTTTAATTTAAAGTTGATTTATTTCAAGAGAGACAGAGAAAGAGGCAAAGAGAGAGGGACAAAGAGAGAATTCGAAGCAGACTCTACACTGTCAGCACAGAACCCAAGCAGAACTTGAACCCACAAAATGCAAGATCATGACCTGAGCCAAAACCAAGAGTTGTCGCTTAACCAACTGAGCCACCCAGGTACCCCTATAGTAATTCTTTATTATGCACCATTTGTTGCAGCCAACCGAGGTAACGCTTCCCTGGTCATACTCCTGTCCACCAAAAGAACATGGGCAGTCTTCAGGAAAGACACAGTTTCCTTTAGAATTTCGAACCATGCCAATTGGACAATAGCACCCACGTTTGCAAGGCAAGTTCTCCTATAGGAACAAATATAAAATATACATCATCAGGTGCTGCTGTAACATGTCACATTATCAGCATCCATTTACCATGCATAAATATATACCAAGTATCCATTTAGAGCCAACATTTGACAAGTCAAAATAACACACAATAAATATGACCTTCGAATTCTTTTTCACTGATGTTTTGGTTGGCTTCTATCCTGACACAATGAAAAGTTTCAAAAAGTTTAACTGCAAAGCCATGTTCCTTACATCAAAACTAGGTATGTTCCGAGTGCTACAGGTACTGTCAACTCTTCTCTGTGCCTTCGGGTCCCTGCAGTCAACAAATTCAGTCCCTCCGGAACAATTCTCTGCAGGATAAAGGAAGTTGTTAATCAAGGGCCTCTTGATGTGCTTGGTTTAACCCAAGTAGATATTTTAAGTTTAAATTATGATTTCAACACTTACGTAGGGTTAAATCAATGGGAGTCTGGCAAAGAAGAATTCCATCCCGACAGACACTGAAAATAGAAGAAAATTATACATTTAAACATCAAACTTCAATGACAACTTCTTAATACACTGTTAGAGAAACTTTTACCCCTTATTCACAAGTTTTATCCAAGTAAATGGATGAGACACACTGCCCAGAAATAACACGCACCCAGTTATAACATGCAGCCTTGTGCATATTATAGGAATATACAAGCAAGGTTCTATGGGTATCAGAGAACACATGAAAATGATGGCTGTATCTTGATGGATGAATTAGATTCAACAGATAACTGCTCATAAGATACAAAGCTGTGATGCAGGAAACAACAAGGTATGTTCCAATGACTTGTTTGGATAGAAAGCAGTAAGTAGGATAGGGAGAAGTGGTAAAAGCAAGGCAGGGCCAGATTTTGGATGGTCTTAAATGACGTGCAAGCTTATGTCTATTCTTTAGGCAACTGTCACCATTAAAGCTCCTGAGCAGGTAAGTGGCACAGTCAGAATAATGCTTCACGTTAGTCATTATAGAGGTAGTGCAAGAAATATGAGACACAGAGACAGGGCAAAGAGCAGCCAACTTAACAATCATGGTAGTGATGGGGATCTGAAATAGGGTAATGATAAAGGGAACCATAATTTGGAGGCGGTAGCCCAGGTTTCACTAAAAAGGTAATCTACCTACTGATTCCTCAACATCTACAGAGAAAAGTATCATGATCAAACCCCAACCAAATGTCTTGTGTGCTGTAATAGAAAGAGGTTTTTACCTAGGCTTTCCTTTTAAATGGCCAAGAAAAAATAATCCATTTCTAAATGATAGTTTCATGGAACCAAAGAAAAGAGAAGGTGTATCCAAAATTTCTTGGAATGGCTACTTCATTTTTACAGTTACATTGTTAAGAATTGCTACCTCTGCCTATGGAATTAAAGATACAGATAAATTACTTCGCCCAAAACTGCAGAATCACAATCTCCTTAGCCATTACAAAAAGTCACAATTCTTCAACTTCTCCTACTGCCCAAGGAACTTAGTTCAAATTCTTGAGTACAGCCTGGCCACAGTCTACTTTTCCAGCCCAATCCTTTCCAGCCCAACGAGAACCTACATGCACAATACTTTTCAAGCATTTCCTATATTAGTGTGTTCTGCTTACGCTATTGGAAATCTCTCTTCCTACCCCAATTTTGTCTGGAAAAAGTTTCAAATCCTAGTAAAACTCAAGTGCTAGTCTCCTCTGAAAAGTTCTTCTTATCTGCTCAGGCACTAACTGGCTTTTTCCCCTACCATATTATAGTATACAAACCTTGCAAAAGCGAGCACCCTGCTCATTCTGTGAGACAAAGGCAATGTTCCTTCATCTTTGTAATTCTAGCCCTCAGCACAAGGCCTGGAACATGGCAAATATCTATTTAATAAGTGTTTGTTGAATGGTGAATGCTGAGAGACAACTAGAAAACATCGTTTGAATATAAAATCATTTTTGCATCCTCTGTATGCAGGGCATGCTAGAATGTTTTTATATTGGTATTTGAAATCAAACAAAAGTAGAATAAATCAGTTAGAGCCATTATGATGCCGTGAGCACATCAGGTTAAAGGGAGCAATAACTAACTTTAATAAATACAAATTTTAAAATGTGGTAGGTCTAAAGAAGACTTTAGGAGACGTCTATTTCTCTGAAAAGGACAGTCCCCTGATTTCAAAGTCATAACAAGTATATATGCAATTTCCATACCATTTATTGTCATCAATATGGATGAGTTTGCCTGGTTGTATGACCTCGTCATTAAGGTAGCAGTCACACTGAGATTTTGGAACACAGTTCTCTTCATTATTATGGTACATTCCATCAGGGCAAGTGCATCCATCAACTGGAACATCTTCTACATCACAGCTCCTATCTCTCTCTGACAATGATCGACAAGAACTATTGCAGGCTTTTACATTGTACTTGAAAACCAGGCCACTTGGGCAAGAGTGATCTGTTGGTATAGGAATAAAAAATATTAAATATGTATGCATCCAGGAAAAGTAGCAATTCTATTTCATCTTGATGTTTATAAATATTATAGTGAATTATTCACAATTGAGGTTATAAATAGTCAAGAAAAAGTTACTTGCTGTTCACTGGTATTTTTCATTCTTTTTTTATTTGCAGTCAATATTGAGTCCCTATTATATGTTTACATATTCTGTTGGGGATAAAGCCCATAAACAAGATAGGAAATACATTGCTATCATGTGACTTATATTTCTGGGGAAAGGACAATTGTGGCACGTGCTATAAAGAAGCAAGATGGGAAGCTCTAAGTATGTACAACTGGGAACTTGCGGTCCATGTAGAGCATGAAAGCTTCCTAGAGAAAGGTAATTCTATGCCTGGGGAACAGCCTACATCAGAAGACAGGGAAATTCTTTCAAAGAGCAAGAAGAATAGAAGGTATAAACCCAGACACAAAATCAGTGATTAGAACTTGCAGGGCCCTCTTAGTTTGCTCTTTAGCCTTAGAGCAATGAGAAGCCATTGACTCATTTTAGACTGAAATATCAAATGATCAGGTTAGTTTTTTTTTTTTAACCTTTATTTATTTTTTAAGAGACAGAGAGAGATAGAGCATGAGCAGGGGAGGTGCAGAGAGAGGCAGACACAGAATCTGAAGCAGGCTCCCGGCTCTGAGCTGTCAGCACACAGCCCAACGCGGGCTCAAACTCATGAACCGTGAGATCATGACCTGAGCCGAAGTTGGTCGCTTAACCGACTGAGCCACTCAGGCACTCCGATCAGGTTAGTTTTAGTTGGTTTTACTTTAAAGATTATCCTGACTTCTTTGTAGAAAAAGTGGATATTAAAGGAAGCAATTGAAATAACCCAGGAGAAAAAAAAAAAAGAGGTTTTTTTTTTTTTTTTTGAAGTAGGTTGGTGGTCATAGAGATGGAGAGATGTGAATGTATTTGAGAGAAATTTTGGAGGTGAACTTGACAGACCTTTGATGGGAAATGAGCTATGAGGTATTGTGATCTACAAGACATGTATTTCTATAAAGTTTTCTTTTTTTGGGTAAGCCATGTATTTTTCTGAAGTCATATTCAAATACTACAATAAATATGTTAAAAAAATGCAAGATTCAATAAATATGATAGTTGAACTCCTAATTTAGTTATTTTTATTTTCTTAAAAATATCACTAATATTTAACACTTCAAAATGTAGTAGGAGTTGGAATATTAAATTTCAGCATATAATAACTAAACAGAAACCCATGTTAATATATAAATATGTATATATTCTGTTCTTATTTAAATCAAGATCAAAGAATCAAGAAGTAAAACTGCATGGATAACTCAAACATATTTCAAAAAAAACAGGAAATCATCTTTGAAAGAACCAAGTACAAGTTTGTAAATACATGTTTCTAAACTACACACACACACAGACACACACACACACACACACAAACACACACACACACACACACACACACACACACACACACACACACACACACTATAGTAAAAGTGAGAAGGGAGTCATCTAAAGCCCCTGTCCTGCTTACCACATAGTCCAGTTCTCCATTCCACTATGTATGTTTCTTTCTCAGCACACGCTTTTACATAGTTGCCTAAAATCGTGCACAAACAATCTTCACTGTTGTCACAAGTGCAAGTGTATTTTTTGCATTCCTTTAAGGTAAGAAATAAATGCATATTACTTTATGAAAATGTTCACAAGAACAGGTAAACTGGGTATCTTAATTCAGTTTATAACCACTCCTCTTCCTTGAAAATAATCTGTCTTGAACTTTGGGAAATACTTCCTTTTGAAATATGGAAAGTAGTAAATCAATTATTAACTAAGTTTTCCACAAACTTAGAAAACTCAGAAAGAGGAACTTATTCAAGATTTTTCTCATTCCAGGGGTGCCTGGGTGGCTCAGTAGGTTAAGTGTCTAACTTCAGCTCAGTTCATGAGCTCATTGTTCGTGGGTTCGAGCCCCACATCCTTCTCTGTGCTGACAACTCAGGGCCTGTTTCCCTATCTCTCTGCATTCCCCAGCTCACGCTCTGTTCTCTCTCTCTCTCAAAAAATAAATAAACATTAAAAAAAAAAGATTTTTCTCATTCCAACTTATTTGCCAGTACTGTTTTTTTTAATTCGTATATCTAACAACTGAATAATGTTAAGTTTAAAGCTATGTCTTAATGTACTGACAGTGCCTGTTATTTGAAAAATTTTAATGTCTACAGGCTTCTATTGATATTATCAGAATAGTTTGCAAAAAGAGCTGTTAATCTTAGACCCTCACATACCTCATGATATAGTTTAGGATTCACAATTGGATGGCAGGAAGCAAAAGGTCCACTTGAATCAAGAAGAATTCCACAGTGCTTTTCAGCATATCTTTCTGGAAGAAATTTAATGCACTCAAAATTAGTATCAGTAATGTCATAATTTTTAATTGAAAATGTGTGATTGTGTTTTTAAAGTGTTTTTCAGGGCACCTGGGTGGCTCAGTTGGTTAAGGGCTTAACTCTTGATTCTGCTTCAGGTCATGATCTCAGGATCATGAGATAGAGCCCCATATCAGGCTCTGAGCAGAGCATGGAGCCTGCTTGGGATTCTCTCTCTCCCTTGCTCTCTGCCCCTTGCTGCACCCCCAACCCCCGGCCACCACAAAATAAATAAACTTTAAAAAGTTAAACAGTAAAATGTTTTTGCTAGAACATATCTAACTTATTATCAATATATACAAAAATAGCATGATATAACCAGTAACACCTTAAACTAAGAGGCAAAATCTTTTTTTAAATTGAAGTACAAACACACAATATTACACTAGTTTTAGGTGTACAACATAGGGATTAGACAACTCTATACATTATGCTGCGTTCACAAGTGTGGTTACCATCTGTCACCATACGATGCTATTCCAATACCAATACCATTGACTATATTCCCTATGCTGTTCCTTTCAACCCAATGACTTACTTATTCCATAACTGGAATAAGTGGAAAAATCTTCATTAGCTTCATATATTTCTACTAAATCAGTTAACCTGTTTGCAAAATGCAATTTCTACCAAAAAAAATGGGACTAAGGGAACCAGATTATTTATTCAGGTACATAGCAAGTGGGTAAAATGAAATCATCACAACACCAGCACCACCTCGCCCCATTGCCACAATAATCATGTCAGTTTTAGGACAAGCAGTATCAACAATTCAAACACGCATTTTATTTTTTACGGGCTGAATTGATATTTGGTTGCTTCGTAAATCACTTCTTGTATTAAATTAACAGAAAATGAAGTTCACAAAAATAACATCTGAGTAACAAATGCTTTGCTCAATGATTTGCAAATACTTAAAGATGATGTCAGTGACTAGAAGAAGGATTGCTAATTTTTTTAACCATCTTTCAATTGGCTTTTAAAAGTTACTGTCACCAGGATGCAATAAAGAAGCTGACTGAATCTATTAAGAGGACATTGAGGCCGATTGTTTCTAGGTGTACCTGGGTGGCTCAGTCAGTTAAGCATCTGACTTTGATCTCATGATTTGTGAGTTTGAGTCTGGAGCCTGCTTTGGATTCTGTGTCCCTCTGTCTCTCTCTGCTCCTCCCCTGCTTGTGCTCTCACTCTCTCTCATAAATAAATAAATAAACATTTAAAAAATAAATAAAAATAAAAGGACATTGAGGCCAATTATTCCTAAAATTTGACAAACTTTTAACCAGGTATTACCATTTTTTATGTTAATATTACTAACAGCTTATTACAGCATAGTTTCATTTTCTGTATTTTATTTTAAGTTAAATATAAAATATTGAAAATAGAAATAGTTAATTTATATAGCTCTCAAAAGTGTTAATATAGTCTCCTTAACAAAAATTGGCTTGGGTTCTTATGAGATATACATTTGTTTTCATTTATTCTCATTTTAATTATTTTCATTGCAACACCTACAAAACAAAATAACATGAAAATTGAACCTTCAAATGCATATTACCATGTGGATGTTAATGCTTCTATCAACCCCTTTCATTAGTCAAAACAAGTAGATGAAACTTTCAAAAGAAATTGCTTTGTAATTTTTAAATATTGTCAAAAGCTGATCAGACATTTGCTTCAAATATGGAGATTAATTTAGAGACAATTGATTAACATATAAACAATATATTTTAACTTACTTTCCATTGAATTTCATTATTTATGAAAGAAGTAACATAAAGTGTTTGTTAAAATCAACAACACTAAGTATGGGAACAATCAGAGCAAGTCTTTGATTCAAAATACTTGGATTATCAGAAACAGACCGATAAATACAGAGGACTCTGATGTTTGCCAGAGGGGAAGGAGATTGGGGGATGGGCAAAATGAGTGAAGGGGAATGGGAGATACAGACTTGTAGTTATGGAATGCATAAGTCCCAGGGATAAAAGGTACAGTATAGGGGATGTAATCCGTTGTGTTGTAATGACATGGTATGGTGACAGACAGTAGCTACACTTGTGGTAAGCAGGACATATTGTATAGACTTGTAGAATCACAATGCTGTGCACCTGAAATCAACATAACATTGGATGTCACCTGTACTTCAATAAAAATATTGTAATTAAATAAATAAAAATAAAATACTTGGGTGACAGATTCATCTTTAACCCTTATTAAGTACACTCTATCTGGAGTCCATTATCAACATCAACCTTAATGGAGATAATAACTACGTCCGTGCTCTTCATGAGTGTTTGTGGGAATAAATGGAACCAATATTTATGGAAATCTTCGGTAAGCTAAAATATGAGCTGAATCCTACAAGTGTAAAGTTTTCCTCGTAAGATCTGTATTTGGGGGTTGGTATAATTAACAGACATGATAGCAGTAGTTAGGAGATGTGGATCTAGCTACAGCTCTATTGTTAAGTAGCTGAGCAATTTGTGGGAGTCTCATTATTTCAACCAATGATCATTTCCATGCCTAAAATAAAGGGTAAGAATAATAAACGAAATGATCTGTAAAATTTCCTCTAACCCTACTATTCTATAGCTATGAAGAAAACTGTCAAAGAAGGAAAAGAATGCGTATAGAAAAAGACAAATATGTTGATCCCCCTCCCCAATGAAAGATGTGTTTTCTAGTTGCACTCTCAGCCAGCCAGACTGTTTCTCCACTGTTCCCTGTAAAACAGGTACAGTAAAACAAGCACTAGCTAAAAGCAGGATTATCTGAGAGTCTCATATCATTAACAGAATAAGTATACAATTCCTAGTACCAAATATTTAATCACAGAGTTTAATGTTCAATTACCAATACCTTTTTCTATACTGATGCATGAAGTGGGGTTTCCTTTAGGACAGGGCATCATTTCCCAAGAATCAGCAAATGCCTGAGACGTTTTCTCCAATATATTCTGACTTGACATGAAATCATCCTCTGCTCTGTTGTTGTAGGAACCACAGAGTCCTGTATAGAGCACAAAACAAATTTTAACATTTCCTCACCTACTTGCCTTTTTGGATTCATAGTCTCACCTCATATTCAGTTCTTCACTCAAATCAAAACACATAGAAGCTACCTGAGCGTGTATGTCTTGGTTAGTCTTTACACATACAAGCAAAATTCATGACACTTCAGATTAATATCCCATTTTATTCAAATACCAGGAGCACTGAGACACTATTTTCCATAAATATTGTGTGTTTCCTGTTTGTCACTATAGCTTACTTAACCTCCTCTGACAAGGTGGGGGGAAACATGCTTACAAATAGGATGTTTGGGACTGCACATTTTCAGTTGTAGTGTGGAGAGTTGAATCATGTTAAGGGCCATATGCATTTGATCTGGATCCAGGGATTACATTTTTTTCCCTATGTATAAATAAGTCACCTTTTCAAGTAAAGACATGGTGCAAAAGCTTAGACTTTTGAAATTAGTAGCTGTGGGATTTGCCACTGTTTTGTTTTATCTGACACCCATGACACTATGTGGGAGCTGATTTCTATGACAGAAAACAGCAGTGAAAGATAAGAACATGTGATCTATCAGCAGGAAGACAAATTGTAATGTAGTTTGTGTTTGAAACTTGATATTCAAAAGATGTCTAAGTATAATATTTTCATCTTCTACAGGCAAAAGCTCTGGTAATCTACATTAGCAAAGTGATATATATCCTATATTATCAAACCTGACTTTAAAACGCCTTAATTTAAAAACCTTAAATTTGTGGAAAACCATTTAGGAATAGATTTTGTAATAAATAAAACCATCTTTACTGTAAGTTGAAACTGTTTTACTGCAATATTGAAAGGAAGATTAAGTAAAAATGCTTTATGCATAATGTCATTAATTGAGAAACAATTGAAAATTAAAATAAGTGATAGTAACATTAGAACCTTGGAAATAAAAACATATCCAGGGGACTTACCTACAGTGTCTGTGAATTGGTTGGGTGGCATGGAAACATATAATTGCATCACAGGAACAATCTGTATCTGCATCTTTACATGAAAGTTTGTTTCTACTTGAAGGTATGAGGAAGATGCTTTGAAGATCTGCATTTGGTCTGTTAAAATAATTATTAACATTAAGAGTAATAATTTAAATAGTGAACAATTTTTAATTCATTAAAATGGTTTTATATTTTCATGTGTTAAAAAACACACATTTGATATCCTTAAAAATTGAATAAGTGAATGCATCTTACATTTAAGTGGATTTATTAAACTTACCTGAATAATAATAACCTTGATTTCTAATCTTATCATTTGTGACTGTTCCATCTCTATTGAATATATATTTGTCAACTGAAACAGACTGATATTTAAAACAATTGTTAGTTCATGTTAATTTGTAATACTAATTCATTTTAATGCAATATATGCACCTTCATTTTTATGCCATAAAGTGTTTAATTTTACTAGATTAATTTTATCTTATTATTATTTTAATATTAAATAAAATACAAATAAAATAATATTATATTTTTATTATATATAATTACTATGGTGATGATAAATAAATAGTAATTATCATTTACTAATAATAAAAACAGATACAGAGTGCTAAAGGGGGAGGGACAGAGAGATAAGGAGACACAGAATCTGAAGAAGGCTCCAGGCTCTGAGCTGTTAGCACAGAGCCTGACGCAGGTCTTGAACCCATGAACGGGGAGATCATGACCTGAGCCGAAGTTGGATGCTGAACTGACTGAGCCACCCAGGCACTCCTTAAATTAATTTTTAATATCTAAAATATAGAACATTTTTTAAGCACTCCTCATATGTTTTTTCATTGCTTCTTATACCAATTCTTTGAGAAGTATTGTAAAGGAATTTCCATCCCTAATTTGTAGATGAGGAAACTGAAACTCAAGAAGATAACTTACATTTCTAAATGTCAGAAGCCTTCTAAGTACCAAAGGCAAGTCTCAATGTCCTCCCTCACCATTTAGGTCTATTTCCTTTTACAATGTCACTTCCAAATACATGAAATTCTAAACAAATATAATTGCCTTTTAAATGGCCCACAGAGTTTAATAATTTAATAAGCACATAAGTTGATCTGTAATTAGTGCATTAGTTGTATACGTATGATAACTTTTATGTACTTAAGGATCCTTAGAAGTATCTACCTCTTCCAGGGACATTATCAATTTTCTGTACAATATCACTTGTTATTTCAATTTACAGAGTAAAGCCTCTCTTCTAACACAAAAATTCTGAATTTGTGAAGTAATTGATTTTATTTTGCTCTGGATAAACTTTAGGGAGTGGACTACTCACCGAATTCAAGAGGAGTGTAACACTATTTAAGCACGTTCCTGACTGACCATTTGGACAGGGACGAAGTTCAACGCTAACAGACCAATCTTTATCCTGTTAAAAAACGCATTTCATTGATATATTTATTAAATGTCATTGATTATATGCTATTACTGCATGATTCATTCACAATGCATGTTTGCATTTAAAACATGTACAATTCCTACATATAATCTGTCTGCTCTGAAAGTAAAACCTCGTTCAGTTCATGGTAAGTGTAGAAATGGCCACTTTACAGAAGGTCCAAGTATCTTCCATAAACTATATCTGATTGGTGGGTTAGTATAGTCTGATTGGTGGGTTTTCATAGTCCTCATTTTTTTCTTTTATCTTTACTTTTTGTCATCTCCTCCAAGGGAATGTGCTGCATTGCAGAGACGAATAGGAATTAGAGATGACGTAGCTTGTTTATTCTCTGGACAATCCACAATGTCTGTTTAAACCCAATGTGAAAGGTATTTAATTTGTAAAACCAAAATATAAGTCATGTCAAACATTGACTTCCAGTTCTCTCTGCACGATCTAGGAATCTAATATAGGAGAAGCAAATATTCCACATATTTTGGTGTTATTTCCCTTTCAGTTTGCCCATCCCCCACCCTCACAGATTATGTGAGGAGCATAAAAGGAAGAAAGATTTGGAAAATGGTCTTTTAGTAGCCAGGACAGAATTTTTCAGACTACTGGACTTGAGCCATCCCTCTCACTTTAGGAGTAACAAATTCTGCTCATCTTGGTTCCTTACCAAAAGATTAAACAAAATTATATTTTCAGGCTGGCTATAGGCACAAGATACAAGATGGAATTCCCCTTTTACTGAAATCCAGATTACTTAAAATTTTAGTACTGAACAGAATTTAAAAGTCAGGATAGCTTCTATCATACTAGTGATAGTATATTATAAAAACTAAAAATAAATGTAAAGGGGTAACTGAAAAAGGAAGATGTTTCATGGAACATAAAAGATAGTTTCAATTGAGGCACTAGTGAAAACATGCAAAGAAAAGCAGAAGAAAATATTTTTCCAGTGTACTTAGAAAATTATTAGTGATGAAGGGAATTTTGGGATTTGTTGGTTTGTTTAGCAAGGAATTTCTAAGAAGTGCATGTAATACTTATGGTCAATGTCAACATGTGACAGAAAACAGATACCAAAATATGTAACAAATAATTGAAGGGCTGCTTGTTATTTATTTTTTAAATAGTAATTTGAAGTGAAGATTGTGTTTTAAATTGGATGAAAAACAGCTTGGCATGTGCATCAGTTTTCTCAACTGTTCCAGGCTATTACATACGTGGATGGCCAAGAAATGACAGTTTCCAGGATGGTTATATTTAACACCATCAAAGGTGGTGATTGAACTTCCTTCCACCTTACATCTTCCAGGACATAATGCTTCAGTGCAAGACCACTTTGCTTCTTGGCATGTGCTGGTAAAATGCAATGGTTACATTAAAGGTCATCAGCTGTGTTTTCTCTATGGCCAAAATAAATATCCCAACATTAAAAATCAAAATTTAAACTAAGACATTTACTTAAGTTTTATTAGACCATCTTTTTTGTTTTAAGTTTTTAAATAATCTCTACAACCCAACATGGGGTTCGAACTCATGACCCCAAGATCAAGAGTCACATGTCTTCAAACAGAGCCAGCCAGGAGCCCCTGTTAGAACACCTTTGTTTCCCACTCAACATCTCAACTCTGATCAAACGTCTCATTGATGGTGGCATCCTGTTTTTTTAAAAGACTTGAATGCCATGGACTAAAATAATAGCTTCGGCCTGAATTAAACATATAAACACTTTTAAACTGGGTTTCAGGTTTGTTTAAATGGAACCCATTTCACTATTAGTTAAGACACCTGCTAAATGCCACACTGTAGACCTGCAGTGTTCAATATAGCATAGAGACATATAGCTATTGATTACTTGAAAGTGACTCATCCAGATTGAGATCTGCTGTAAATGTAAAATACACACAGACTTCTAAGACTTAATCTGAAAAACAGATCATAAAATCTCTCATTAACTTTGCATACTAATTTCATTTTTAAATGATAATACTGTATTTTGGGTATATAAAATACAGAATTAAAATTCATTCTACCTCTTTCTTTTTGCTTTTTAAAAATGCATCAACTAAAAAGTGTTAAATTATATATGTGGGTCATATTTGTGACTCACGTGATATTTCTCCTGGATAGCACTGTCATAGATATTCAATAAATCATAGCTATTGTTATATACAATTATTACTAATGCATTATGACCACACTAACAAGAACATTTCTCATTTATAAAGAACATATTATAATATCAATAATAGATTAGCTTTCATTGAGTCAGATTATTTCCCTACAAGGGCATAATACATTTCTAGAAAAGTCCTCTGGACTTCTGCACAAATTTGGAGTTTCAGAGAAAAGTTGTAATGAGAAATGGGGAACTCTCTCTGATCAACATATTGCTGCTGAACTCAAATAGTCCACACTAATTTTTGGCACATTAAAATTCACTCATTAAATATATCCATAAATATTATAAATATATATAATATATAAATAAAAATATATAAAGATTAAATATGCCTTCACCAATGTAGCCTCATAAAAATTATTTGAAAAGTATTAGATTGTTTCTGATTATACATTTTATTAAATATTCTTGGCATATTGCACAATTATTGTTTCCTTGTTGTAACCATACTCTTATATTATTCTTTGCTTTATATTTGCAACCACTAATTGGCTTACTATTTGAAACACTACTTCAGTTAGTGAAAAGCATTACCTTTTAAAGATACATAGAAAGCGTATACATTTTATTTTAAAAACACACTAAACTTTCCTTAAAAGATAAAAGGCAAATATGAACACAGAAAATACAGTGAGGTTGCATTTTATTTCTGGAAAGTTTATTTTAAGTACTTAGGAATTATTTAAAATTGATTAAACTATTAGTATTATTTTGCTATTAATAAAATGTGGGCAAAAAGCATGCACCTACCACTGAGAACCACAAGGACCATCTCGGACTTCTCCTGACTGATAGATCTTTCCATTTGATTCACAGGGACATTTAGCCTTTAATACACATCTCCCTTTTTCTTCAATATCGTCCAATAGGTAACCTGGAATAAATATATTATATTAATCTCAGAATTATATAAACATCAGTAAATTCTCAAGCAGTGAATTGTGAAATCACTCTTGAGCTAGTTCTTTTTTTTTAATAAATTTTTTAAGTGTATATTTGTTTTTAAGACAAGTAGAGACAGAGCATGAGTGGAGGAGGGGCGGAGAGAGGGAAACACAGAATCCGAGGCAGGCTCCGGGCTCTGAGCCGTCAGCACAGAGCTCAGTGCAAGACTCAGGGCTCAAACCCACAACTGTGGGATTATGACCTGAACCTAAGTCTGACGCTTAACTGACTGAGCCACCCAGGTGCTCCTGAACTAGTTCCTTCAAGTGTAAACATGCACTTGAAATGGTAAGTTCCATTTAAGCAATTACTCCAGTTTGAGAACTGACAAGAGTATAATTTTCTGAGCCATAGAGTATTTCTACTGAGCGCAATATAAGACTAGAGGATGATCTGTGGAGCACTATGGCCCTCAGGTACCATAGACATAGACATACACATTAACTTTGTAAGTCTCTCTCTTGCCCTCTTCTGCAGTTTGCTAGAAGAATGGATTATGAATAGATGATTTCATTAAATATCTAGTTAGAAATAAGACCCACCATACTAGAAGCACTGTTTTCAGTTGTTTCAGTGTAAATACTCTCATAGGGTGTATTACCTTCTGGGCAGGTGCAGCCACTCACACATTCACTGTCTTGAAAAGGAGCCACATTAGAACAAGTTGCAGGGTTTGAGGGACCACATTCTTTGTAGATATGTTTTTCTGGGCATCTAGGTTTTTCTAGAGAAATATAGATATAGGTATACATGGAAATTAGAGGAAATGAATGTGATAAATAGATAATACTTTAATGGGGATCTTTTCAAATGAGCTTCTTTGAGTCTAATGTTCAAGATATGAGTCAGTCTTTAAAAATATTCAGCACAACTAAATTGTGCCAATTTTTCATGCATTATTTTATGATACAATATTTAATCTGGAGAAAAAATAAAAAAACAAAGACAAAAATTAGGAGGAAATGTACTTATATATATCATTGCATCTTACTTTGGAATTGATATTCTACTCATATTTTAACTTCTAAGGATTTAGCTAAACATAGGTTGAAAGTATATTTATATTTGTGTGAAACTCATCTCTATGCTTTATTTTTTTGAAAGGAAATCATAGTACTAATCAATATACTTTTGATAACTTTTCCACTATTTTCAATTTTTACAGAATTTCTCATTTTTCCCAGTAACTTTTACTAATTGTAAAGACTATAAATTTCCTAACTGAGATCTTAACACAAAGCGGTGCAACTTACGGCAAGTCACGTCGCCAATACAGGTCTCAGTTTCCTCACAAGTATCTGTGAGAGATAGGACTCTAACATCTCTAAGATCCCTTTCAGGGCTTACAGTCATTTGAAAAGATTACTTTGAAATATAGCTCAATTTTAAAGTGCTATAGACACTTTCTGTCTTGGAATCTGCAATACAATTTAAAACCTACCACAAACCACATCAGAATCATCTCGCCAGGATACGTAGGGACCGGGACCATCTGAGGCACAGAGGCGGGACAATTCTGTGTAAGTGTCACACGTAGAATTTTTGTCTCTATTTTGGCAGTACTCATCAATGCAGATCATTCTGTAGTCATTGGATAAAGTGGTGACCTTTCTACATTTCTCAAAGTAAGTTCCAATAATTTTGTCACAGTGCTACAAAATAAAGCATGAAGTTTTATTGAAACATAAAAAAATGGACAATCAAATAAACATTTAGGAAAAGATAAACTCAGACATGTTTGATTCTGCATGATAACCTGTAACTTTGGCAGGAAGAGTTGTTGACTTCTGGTTGAAACGGAGAGTTTTAAAGTATTATACTCGGTACAGTGACTCCTAAAAGAACACGTCACTTATGGCGTTTTGGATTGTTGTACAACAGCTTCAAAAATTGTTGTACCTACACTCAACCAAAATTTCTCTAAAGGTGACATGAAGTTTACAACTTGAGAAAATGGAAGGGTGAGAAAAAATAAAGATTGTTGATGCCAGAGAGTGGGATGGTAAATGACTGATACCACAATAGACAGAAGGGACATTGGCCCTTTATCTATTAATATTCTTATATTTGATGAGCAACCATGGCAGTAAAATAGAGCGAATGTGTGCTTTCTTATTGGGGGCCATGTGAGTTGGCTCCAGAGACAACATATTTGTTCTCATGTTGGTTAAGAAAGTAAACACATATATTACTGAACCCAAAAATATTTAAATGTCTACATTTTTTAACTACCACGTAGCTGTTTTCTTTCTTAACATGTTTGTAACAGAGAAATATAAAAACCACTGTTAAGCAAATGTATAATTTGTACCAATTAAGCCTAAGACAACTGATAACATTCTCCAGGTTAGGTATAAGATTAACTGAAATAAAATCTTCACGGATTGATTTTCATTTATTATTTTTGTATAGTTTTCTCACTAAATTACAGGTTCCTTTAGAGTAAAAAATAGAACTTTGTATCCTCTTAACTTACTACAATATCTTGCATGTAGCAGGTCTTTAGTAAATATGCATTAGCTTCGTAATGTGTATTTATTTTGAGAGACATAGAGACAGCATGAGTGGGGAAGGGGCAGAGAAAAGGAAAGTGAGAATCCCAAGCAGGCTCTGCACTGTCAGCACAGGGCCCAATGCAAGGCTCAATCTCATTAACCATGAGATCATGACCTGAGCTAAAACCAAGCATTAGAGGCTTAACCGAATGAGTCACCCAGGAGCCCCTGCATTAACTTTAATATAAATTTATATAATCACTGAACTGACATTTTTGAGCAACCAGGAGTAAGTTCTCATACATTTTGCAACTACCACAACAGATAAAACATAAGTCTTGTCATCATCGAATGCATAATCTTACAGGGAACATAAAAACATGGGAAATTTTTGTGGATGGTATCTTATCATAAGTAGTAAGGAGTGGCATAGGGTAACAGAGGAAAAAGAGAAGTCAATTCTAACTGAAAACCAAAGAGGGTTTCACAAGAAAGACAGAAGATGATACAGAAAGTCATGGCTTAATTTGCTTTGCTAGAAGGTAACAAGATGGTTAGAAATGCAACATCCATTGTCGAGAAAACAAAAAGTCTCTTCTATCCATTCTATCCATACATCTTGATCTGGAAAATTTTGTTCTAGATTGAAACAGGAATATGTGAACATTTATTCAGTCATAAAATAAATGCAACCTATCCTAAAGGACCTGAATGTGAGACAGGAAACCACCAAAACCCTAGAG